CAATCAAAATATAGAACATCATCACCTCCAAGTTTCCATGAACTCCTTTGCTGTCCATCTCTCCTCTGGCCCTGGACCTAGGCAAGCGCTGAGCTGCTTTTTCCCTCCACAGATTAGTGTGCATTTCTACAATTTTATATAAATGGAAGGAATCATGCAGTATGTACTCTTTTGTGTCTTTTACAACAATTTTGAGACTCATCCATGTTGTCGCATGTACTCATAAAAGTAGTTTGTTCCTTTTTATCCCTGAGTAGTAATTCATGGTAGTATGTATATATTAACAATTTGTTTATCCATTCAACAGTTGATGGACATTTGGGTTGTTTCCAGTTTTTTGACACAGTGAATAAAACTGCTGCCAAAATTTGTGTACAAGTCTCTGGACGTATGTTTTCATTTCTCTTTGGTAAACTCTAGTAGTAGAATTCCTCGGTCTATGTTACATGTATATTTAACTTTATAAGAAACTGCCAATTGTCCGAAGTTGTTTACCATTTTATATTCCTTCTAAGAGCATATGTAAGTTCCAAATTTCTATGTTTTTGTCAAAATTTGTTATTGTCAGCCTGTTTAATTTTAGCTACTCTAATGGGTGTGTAGTCATATCTCTTTGTGATTTTTTTCATTTCCCTAATGACTAAGGATTTTGAGCATCTTTTCCTGTGTTTATTGACCATTTTTATATCTTCTTTTATTAAGTGTTTGTTTAAATCTTTTTCTTTTCTATTGGATTATTTGTCTTGATATGGAGTTAGAAGAGATCTCTCTCTATAGCAGTATAAGTTTGTTATACTCATTTGTATTGCAAATATTTTCTCTCAACTCATGGTGTGTATTTTTATTTTTTTAATGGTGACTTTCAAAGAGCAAAGTTTTAAATTTAAGCAAGTCTAATTTATAAGTTATTTTCTCTTATTTTTTTTTTTGTTTTGTTTTTGTGTCTTATCTTTATAGTCTTTGCCTACTTCCAAAGTGGTGAAGATTTTCTCCTGTTTTCTTTTAAAAGATTTAGGGTTTTAGTGTTTACATTAATGTCATTATTTACTTTGAGTTAATTTTTGCATATGGTGTGAGATGAGGGTCAACGTTCATTCTTTTCTATGCAGTCATCTAGTTGTTCTAGCACCATTTGTTGAAATGACTTTTCTCCCATTGAGTTGCTTTGACACTTTTGTCAAAAAATCAATTGCCCGTGTGAGTGAGGGTGTATATTTGGACTCTATTCTGTTCCATTGATCTGTTTTTCTCTAGTACCACAGTCTTTATTATCGTACCTGAATAGTAAATCTTGAAACAAAATAGCACAAAACTTTCATTCTTTGTAAATTACTTTGAAAATTCTAGAAACTTTACATATCCATATAAATTTTAGAATTAGCTTGTTACTTTTTTTGCAACAAAGAAAAAGCATGCTGAAATTTTGATTGGGATAACTTTGAATCTATATCTCAATTTCAGTAAAATTGACATCTTAATAATGTTGGAGTCTTCTAGCCTATGAATCTGGTATATCGCTGCATTTGGTTAGTACTTTTTAAACTTCTCCCAGCAATATAATAATGCAGTTTTTCACTGTGCACATTGTACTAGTTTCCTGGGGCTGCTGTAACAAATTACCATAACCTGGGAGGTTTAAAACAACATAAATTTATTCTCACTCTTCAGGAAGTCAAAAGTTCAAAATCAAGGTGTTGGCAGGGTTGAGTGCTTCTGGAGGATCTGAGGGAAAATCCATTCCACGCCTCTCTCCTCACTTCTGGTGTCTGCCACAATCTTTGGCATTCCTTCCCTTGTAGACTCATCACTAGAATCTGCTTCTCTCCACATATTCACATGGACTCTTCCTTCTGTGTTTCAGTGTCCTTTCCTTTTCCTGTCTCTTATAAGAACACTATCATTAAATTTAGATCCACCCTAATCCAGGATAACCTCATCTTGAGATTCTTACCTTAATTACATCTACACACCATTTTTTTTTCCAAAAAAGGTCACATTCTAAGGTTCCAGGTAGATATACCTTTTGGGAGCCACAATTCAACCCACTACATTCATATTTTTGAAAATTTATTCCTAAGGGTTTTATATTTTATGATGGTAGTACAAGTAGATTTTTTCTGTTTTATTTCAAATTATTTGCTGCTAGTATATAAAAATAGAATTCACTTGTGAGTACTAATCTTATGATTTTACTAAATCTTGTGATTTACTAATCTTATGATATTACTAAATGCAATTATTAGTTCTTGTCATTGTTATGTAGATTCCTTTAGGATTTTCTACTTACATAAACAATCTGGCTGCTTACAAATAGAAGCAGTTTTACATCTTCTTCTATTTATTTCTTTTATTTATCTTGATCGATTATGATAACTAAGATGTCCAGTGCAGTGTTGACTAGAAATGGTAAGAGCAGGCATCCTTGCCTTGTTCCCTGTCATAAGGGAAGATCAGTATATACTTCAGCATCAAGTATGATGTTAACAGTAGGGTTTTTGTTGAATTCTCTATACCAGGTTGAGAAAATACCCTTCTACTCCTAATATGGTAAGAGGTGTTTATTTTGTTTTTTGTTCAAAAGACTAATGGGTGTTGAGTTGTATTGAATCATTTTCTGCATGTATTGATATGGTGATATGCTTGTTCCCATTTTTTTTTTCTATTGATGTATGAATTACATTGATTGATTTTTGAATATAAAACCAATCTTACATTTCTGGAATAAGCCCTAATTGGTCTGGATACATTTTTATATGTTAAATTTGATTAAAATTTTGTTAAGAATTTTTGCATCTATGTTTGTGCAGGATACCTGAATTAAAATTTGTTTGTAATTGTCATGTAATTTATTTGTCTGATTTTGGTAAAAAAATAAGTTGGAAAGTGTTTCCTCTTCTATTTTCTGAAAGAATTTTCGAAGATTAATGTCATTTCTTACTGGAATATTACTAGAAATCCCCAGTAATACCATTTAGAACTGAAATTTTCTCTGTGGGAAGATTTAGACAATGAATTGAATTGCTCTAGTAAATATAGAGTTATTTTGATTTTCTGTTTCATCTGTGTCAGTTTTAGTAAGTTGTATTTTTCAAGGAATTTGTCCATTTTATATCAGTTACTAACCTACTTATCTTTATGTATTGAGCCTAGATATTGTCTTCTCTGTGAAACTTTCCCTGACATTTCCAACAGAAATGATTTCTCATCCTTCTTGTCACTCCTGTCCCCAGTATCATTTCTACTCTCCACCTTCCATTAAGGTTTGTCCATATGTCCCTTCCTGTAGTAAATTAAGGGTCCTGAAGTTCAGTGATTGCAACTTTGAGTCAAAATTTGTTATTGTCAGCCTATATGTCTTTGAGTCTCTGCCACCTTGTATGGTGCCTGACACATAATAGATTACCTCCCTCCTAAACATTTAAATAACCATATTATTCCACTTAACATTATCTAATTTATAGTCACCCAGGCATGTTTCTAACTTCCTCAGTAGATTATGAGTATCTTTTGCAAGAGTGGCATGTATTATTCAATGTTTATGTTTCTTCGATGTCTCACTCTTAGAATAAATTTTAAACTATTAAGTTGAATAGACTTGCCAGACAATACAGAAAATCAGTATTCTGTGAACTCAGAGAAGAGAGGATAAATGGAAATCTGAAAAGCATGTGTCAATAAAGGGAGAAAAATAAGGGAACTAATATTATTGAGTGCTTACGATGCACCAGACCTTGTGATAAACAATTTATGTTTTTTTAATCTCATTTAACCCCTAAAACAATTAGATATAGAAGATATTCTTATCCCCATTTTACCGATTCCTGATCTGTAAATTGTGATAAGAACGTCTTCTAATCAGGAAGTTAAGTACTTTGCCCAAGTTCACAGGGTTACTAAGTGGCAGATCTGGGTTCAAATCCATATTTGAATGATTCCATTATCCACATTCTTGGTTTCAATCGCATTTTTGTCCACTCAGTTTTCTACACCACAGTTGGTGTATTTTCCCAAATTGCCTTTAAACTTTTCTACAGTAGAAGATTCTGTGGTCCCTCTGATTGAGTGTTGGAATCTCTGTAAGTTTAGAAAAATTCCAAAGTGTTCCCTGGACAATGATTCTACCTCTACCATAAAATATGCAGAAATATCCTAGAAGATCCCAAACAAACTTTGACCTCAAAAGTATGCCGCATAACTCTCTGTTGTTTTCCCACTATTCCACATCAGTCTTTTGTCTACAATCCTAGCATTCTTTTAATGATATCAGATGCCAACATTATGGTTGTGGTTAATTGGGGGCATTGTTGGTTCCTGAGTTCCTACCCAGATAGTATAAGGAAAATCAAGAGGCCAAGGTCACGGTAACTCAGGCAATCTTCAAGGCTTGGTGTGAAAGGAGAGCTGGCCTTACCTTTGTGTATGTTATGTATTGGTCCTGTGTAGAAAGGCCTGTGGGCTAATTTGTGCAAGACATGTTCCTTCTCATTATGCCTTGAAACAGGCTATGTGAAACACCAGATCCAATCATATAGCTTCTGTAACTAAAAAGCTTCTGCATTTAGTCTCTTTTCTCTCTTGACACAACAGTACTCTATAAGTCATCCACATCTGGGTTGCTTATGATGACCAGGCTTTTCCCAGTTAGAAATGTGACTAATGCACCATTTTACCAATACATCTTGACCAAAGAAGGAAGGAAAGGCACAATTAAAGTTTTTCTATGGTGCCAGCCTATCAATTGAAACAACATGTTTCTGAAGTCTTCCCAATGTGAAGAACAAAAAGTAATAACATTTGTTTATTTATTTGTGTACAATACTGTGGTCAGAAACTTGCTGCTTCTCTGGAGAAATTGCAACACACTATTGAGGAGAGGACTTAACAATTCACACTGATCATTCCCTGTGGTCTGCCATGGTGAGGGTGATACTTTCATGCACTATAAACACCAGACAAGAGGGCTGAGTCAATTCTCTCTTCATATTCTAGTCTCAGTTGGAATGACTCGCGTAGGCATCTGCAGCTCTAGGTTCTTTCTGACTAAGAAATCAAGCAAATACTCAGGTCTGTACATTAGGGAAAAAAATCTAAAAAGCCTCCCTGTCTTTTTAAGTTTCAGAAATCAACATGAGCATCTTCTCTATTTTTAGGTAGTAGATCCTGCTTTGGTATGGTCTGTGCATCAATCTTGTTGAGAGAAGGACATTGCTGAGTCATACCATTAGTTAATAATGTTTATTCATTCAAACCTGGGTCAGATAACATTTGGTACAGAGATGAGAAAGAAGATGATGGAATAAATACATGACCCCTTGGAAGCTCTTTTCAGTTGAGGATTTTTCTGAATAGCCACTTGAAATCCAGGGAAATAGAAGGAATAGTAGGTAGTTAAGAAAGGAAGGGCGGGATTTAACTGTTTTGTTTTGTTTTTCTCTTCCTGCCTAATACTGTGTGTATGCAAAGCACAGTCCATATGAGAGCTGTCTTATAAAATTTGCTGAATGAATGGAATGAATGAATGGATGGATTTTAAATTCTGGACTTTCAGACACAGTAGCTTCGAATTGTAGTGATTTTGTCATGTTCCATCTGGGTGCTATAAAAGGCCAGGAAATACCTTTCTCTTTCTTTTTTTTTTGTGTGTGTGTGTGTGTGACCGGTAAGGGAATTGTAACCCTTGGCGTGGTGTCTCCCACACCACGCACAGCCAGTGAGCGCACCGGCCATCCCTATGTAGGATCTGAACCCGCGGCCGGAGCTCCGCGCGCTCTCTCTCTCTCTCCCCGGGGTCGGCCCGGAAATACTTTTCTATTAGATCTTAGCATCTGGGTGTGTGCTCTGCACTGCCAGATAGGATGAGCCTCTGGCAATTCCATTTATTCAAAGGCAAATGGAAGCCTGCAACTGGAGTGCTCTTGTGTGTTCCAACAAAGGACCTATATTGCCTAAGGAAATGGTGTTTCCTCCTACAAGGTACAATCTTGGCTTCTCTGCCATGAAGGGGGTTGTTCCTAGAAATGTGCTCCAGAGACTTTTCTATTTAACCAGGATACAAATTGCATTGTTACATAATTCCCCTGCTGAGGCCCTATGAAAGGAATAAGTTGGGACAGGTACAGCAAGATATTAAATGTGCTCCAGAGACTTTTCTATTTAACCAGGATACAAATTGCATTGTTACATAATTCCCCTGCTGAGGCCCTATGAAAGGAATAAGTTGGGACAGGTACAGCACAGATTCCCCCATTATTCATGGTGCGCAATACAGAAGTGAACTTGATTTCTGCCAGATGACCCAATTCTTAGCATGCTTTTCTACGCATTTTTACCCATAGTTCTTCCAAATCACTATCTTTTGGTTCAAATTGTGCAGAGAAACAATAAAATGGGGAAGAAAAGATAAACTGCCTAGTAAAAAATAGAATGGCATTTAATTAAAATTAAGCTTGAAAATTAATGGGAAAAAAAGCTCTATGATTAAACCTCATGGCAGCATAGCACATCACTGTCATTTTGTGGTTTTGAGTGTATTTCATTTGTACATTAGAAATAGATATTTGTCATATTGTTAATAATTGCTTTGCTGAAACGTGCACTCAGCATTGGGCATCATAGTTACCTTATTTAGTCACAAAGTTTTCATTTTCTTTCTGTACTTTTCTTAAGCTCGTTTCTGAGTGGTGGTTCACATAAGCTTTCAATTTTCAATAACACAATCCGTTTATCTCTCTAGGCTTCTTTATTTGCTTAAAGTGAAGAATCAGGGCCGAGCCCGTGGAGCACTCGGGAGAGTGCGGGAGAGTGCGGCACTAGGAGCGCAGCGCTTCCGCCGCGGGTTCAAATCCTATATAGGGATGACCGGTGCGCTCACAGTGCTCACTGGCTGAGCGCGGTGAGGCTGGTCTCAAACAAAAAAAAAGGACAAAAAAAAAAAAAAAAGTGAAGAATCAGATTATGATTGTGTTGTAAATAAGTCAATCGTTTCCTTCCCTTTACCAAACAAACAAACAAAAAAGTGGGTGCTAAGAAAGGGAACTGAAAAAATCGAAATTTCACTAGTCTTCTTGGACTTAGTTATTAAAATAAGTAGAACTAATCCTGTGGGGAGAAGGGGGAGGAAGGGAAGGAAATGGAAAAGGTGTGTTCTCAGCCTTTACTTCAAGCCACTCCAGTGTCCTCTTCTCTGTTTCTTTCCAATGCCCTGACCCATCCTTGCCCTCGATTCAGTCCGAACTACAGGGGAGCTCAGCAGCTGGAGGGAGAGTAAGAGGCAGGCTTTGGGTTATTCTCCCCCAGTAATCTTAAAAGCTCCAGGCAGAAAGACATGCCCAGAGAACCTCCATTTTGCGTTTCTAAAATTGCATCAGAGAAACTCCTAAATTTCATCAGTGATCCTGAGGCCTTTGTAAGTAAATAATTATCTGCGTTTTTTTTTTTTTTTAACCTTAATCTTGCCTATGATCTTTTGAGGTAGGAAAAAATGATGAAAAACAAACCTTCCCTATTTTCCTGTGTATTGGGTATGCCCCTGGAAACATTGGCAAGACTGTTTGCCAAAACGTCTTGGCGGTTTTCAAAGATGGCTGGCCAAGTCATAAAAGGATGAGAATAGGTTTACGTAGTACTGAGTCCAGCATTCTGTATAAAGCACAGGTTTCAGTGTAAAGAAATCTGTAGCCTGAAAATCTCAGGAAACATGACATCCTCTCTTTTCCTTAGTACATAGATATCCCATACAGGTACCTTGTCCTTCAAAAAAACATTTAGAAAATCAGAAAAATACAAGAAGATCAACATGATCCTTAAGAAACAACACTCTTTGTTTTTATTTTCATTTCCTTTTGCTTTTACATTTAAGAGTTAAGACATTTCAGCAGAGAAATGTAGAGAAGGGGAAAGGGAAATCAATAAAGTTATTCTGTGACTTTTCCCAGGAGGGAGCTGTGTTAATCGAGAAGGACTTGCTTGGCTATATATCAGGTCCTAGGAGAGAGCAGCGGTTGATTTCAAAACAGATTTCCCAGCTAGACTGGAAGACACACACACACACACACACACACACACACACACACACACACACACACACACACACATTTATCCATCATATACATATATATGCACATAAACAGCATGTATGCATATGTACACATGCACACATAAAGCACATGCATATATAATTTGAAAAGAACAGTGTATATATACTATTATACATATTTTAATATATGTGTGTATGTATGTATACACATTTAAAAAGTAGATAAGAGTAATTCCTTTAGATAATTAGTAATGCTAGACAAAATCCCTTCTAATAATATTTTATATATATTAATCTGGGATCACTTTACGTTATGTAAGTTTCTCAAATGTTTTTTGACTCCTAAAGAAGGATACTGATGTGCAAAAGCCTGTGACAAAGGAATGGAAACCAGATTTCCTGACCTGAGGCCCGGGGAATTGTCTTTGACCACAGGAGATCTTCTAAAATGTCTCTCTGGGTCATTCACATAGTCACTTTCTCTAGCAATGAATATTACAGAAATTCTTAGCAGGTCTGATTTCAGCAGAGAACATGAGAGTGAACTACCCAAGTTCACCAGGCTATGGCATGTTGTTCATTGCAAGTGGTAGTAGTTCTTCGTTGACGAATTCAAACAACATAATTGGATGGGAGTCAGAATAAGTGTGTATTGGGTCTGACTTCATCTTCACTGTGTGACCCTGAGTGAGTTATCTATCTTTTCTGGAGTTCTTTGCATGAAATGGGATGAATAATTCTTTTTTTTTTTTTCCTTTTTGTCCTTTTCCGTGTCC